CCCTAACCCCCATTTATGCTTGTCTGTTCATATACCAGCATTTCTTTAACATTTCTCCTTCCTGCTCAGCATTCACTATTTATAGTCATTTCCCCAACTCAGCCTGCACTTTAAGCTTTGAAGCCAAGTTATTCCAATTTGCTCTCCCATGACAAGCCCTCCACACCTTTAGTCGTTTTGAGAGCCGGTCTTTGCCATGACTTCAGCTTGAGCTCACCCTTTCAAAAACGCATGACCAAAACCAACATCAAACTCTCCAGGTCCTGTGTAGCATCTCTGATCCATTCTCATCCCTACCAAAAATACCGTGCCAGACGCAGCCCATCACACCATTCTTTTCCACGGCTGCCCCGCAGTGGCCGTCAATCAGTCCTACCATGGGAAATCGCTTATGGCTCCTTTTTCTGACAAGTTTTTGTTTTGACTTGCAACTACGTGACTTTGCGTTTGCACAACCGGTATCTTTCTGCTTCTAACAGCCCATTCTTTGATACCACCAAGTTCTTGTGCAGGCTCCAGAGCCTCCGGCGCACTGATGATGCCTTACAATCCTTGAGCCAGCAGCAGTTTCAGTGGTTGGCCTCCTGCTTGGCCAAGATCCTGGATTCAAATACCACCACCAAAAACCATCCTGACTGTTCGAGGCAGGCACTTTGATACCTCTTTCACCTTTCAACATTGCCTCAGGTCACCTGCGGCCCTCTGCTGCCATCGCCTTCCCCACTTTCTATTTTCCCACTAACTGCATCTTCTTCTCTCTAAACTTTATTTAGCACATCCTTTACCAGACAGAGGAAATCTAATCACATTTCCACTTACAAAAGCAGTTGTAAAAGATACAAGGTTAGTCTGGCATAACAGCCTTTCTTTATTACGGTACACTTTTCAATAGTCATTTACTCCAAGCCTTTTTAATTTTTTAATTCACCTTTTCAGACCATAACCCAGAAGTCAGTACCCATCGATCTTGTCATTGCCTGGGTGGCTTTTCCTTTCTGCTCCAATGGAAGCAGGAAACTGGATTACTCTCCACCGGTCAGACCGACAGTTATATTTCAAGCACTAGCACAAAAATATCGAAAACGTTACCACCTCAGTGGCAATGCCCTATTGCACCCATCAGTGCAGTATTTCAGGCTCAAATCCTGAAAAAGTTTGTGCCTGAGCAAGCACAGATGACAGCTCAAAAATATGCAGTTGAAGGACAGCAAGCTTCAGAATTGAGCCCAAGAAGTGCATGCAATAAATACCGCTGCCTTCATTTCTAGTTCATCGATTTATTGATTCCCTGGAAACAAAGCTTACTTACATAAGCCACATCCAAACTGATGCAAGAGAAGGAAAAAAAAAATGCTCTTGGTTTTCCTTGGGAAATTTGGTTGCAAATGAGACTGTCAGCAATTCTTTGCAGCCAGATGTTGAATGTTTGTTTTACATATGTTCAAGAAGCATCTTCAGCCTGCCAAAGAAGCATCTTAAAACATGAATTACCAATGAAATATGAAATCCTACTTCAACTGCACAAGACCGCATTTGGTTTTTTGCAGGTTTTTGGCCACAAAGCTGCTAGAAGTGTCTTTGTTGGGATAACTTGCAGCTTTAGGGCCGTTTTCTGTTTTGTTTCATGGAGGGAATAGGAACGGTTTTACCATCAAATAAATTATAACGTATGACATTTTTGGCTCTAAATGTTCAAGGCAAAAACCTTCCACTCTTCCATGGAGACAAAATTTCACTTTATGTAGTGCTCCTTGGGTACAGACCCTCAAATTTCAGTCTGTCTTCATTTGCAGTCTCCTAACATTTTCCTAACTGAAGTGGAGGCCGCTCTATAGACTTGCAGGAATGGGGGACAGTAACTTTTCACACATCCCATAAAAACAGCTCACTAACCTTAGGTCCACAGTTACTGGTTCAGATTAATAGTGAACAAATAGACAAGAGACCACCGAGGAGGTTTATGTCCAGGTTCACTTTTGCCCATCCTGGATTTCCTTCTTGCAGCAGCTAAACTTTGGTCTTGCTTTTTTAAACTGCGTAGGGATGAAGGACATCTTATCCAGGAGCACAGGAAAGGCCAAAACAGCTTCCAGCTGAAATCCAACCTGCCTTGAAAACACTTCTGCCTGTGCTCAAAGAAACAAACTCCTTCAATATAGCAAACACAATTACGTCCTGCTGCACACTTCCATCGTCACTAAAGCAAATAAAACAATGGACACTTCTCATGTTGGACTTCGGCAAAAGATGTTTATTATTATTATTATTATTATTATTGTTGTGTTGCTGTTGTACCTCCTCTGCTCTGCCCACAGCGGTGGCATAAATGCTGTTACCATACTGTAGCTGATGATGCCGGTGTACAAATCAAAATCCATCTTAATTTCAAACTCCATTAGAAACACAGGAAAAAAGATCAACATTTACGAAATGTAAAGGGAAAAATGGTATGGAAAGAATTATTTTTTTTATTTTTTCAGGCTTCCAAGACAGTATTACAAACAACAGAGAGCAAAGAAAAGCTAGAAATGAAATACTTGACAGCATCTGTTTAAAAATTACAGCTAAGAAACCTAATAAAAGTTGAATAAACAGTTACTAGAAATAAAAATTTTTACACATATGATATTTGTCTGGGATTTTTATTTCTTTAAAATAATTCATACAAATGGTTACAGTCACAAACATGATTTTAACCAAAAATATTGCTAGCCTACCACATTACCAGGAAGGAATCAATGTAGGCAATGAAATGCTGCTACTTTTCAGTAGTCTAGTGCCTTTTTCGCATACCACCAATAATATATACTTTAACTGGTGACAAAAAGCACAATGCTCGTTTATACAAAACCTTTTTTTTTTTTTCCTCAAAATCTCTTTGCAAGGTTGTCTTCATTTTGAAATAAGGGAATTCATGCCAAAATTAGGAGAAACTGTTTTTCTTTTGTTTACTAAATTATTCTAAAAAATAAGACAAGCAGGTAGAAAAAACAATGCACTGTGTGGCGTAGAAAGAAAAATGGGAAAAATTCATTGTCCTGAGAAGTTTGCCAACTGCCTCATTTTTGGGCATGTTTTAAAATATAAAAGAAAGGATTTTTAATCTCAAAATTGGTTTGTTGAATGCCTCCCTTATGTTTTTCCTTGTTGACAGCTAAGCAAACAAACCCTTTTTAATGTTCTAAAAACTGTACACAGACAAGTACATTCATGATATAATTAACTACTAACTTCTCTTGCTTAACAAAGAACCCATAGGACACAGAAACAGTGAATCAGTCCACTGGACAGGGACAAACTACAATTTATACGGAGGAAAAAATGTTTCCAAATCTTCTTTTTGTCTCCCACCTTTTCCTTTTATACTGTATATTGGACCAGTTTCTAAAATAATAATCGTCTCCTCCTGTAAGTTCATGGTTTTGCCTTTAATCAAAATCCAGGGTTTTGTTTTGTTTGTTTGTTTTCCACACGCTGAAGTTGAAATCTCCGATGTTGGGAATGCTGTTTTCGTAGGCTACAATTGGTCGCTTGGGTGGTCTCTATCAGCTTCTGGTTTGACAGTTTGGCCGGGGGAAGGAGCATGGGGCGGGTGGGCTACAGCAGGGAGGCCGTGTGATAAAGACATAGGGTTGGGGACTATTCCTTCTACTGCTGCAGGTATGCCAGTTGAAGCCACGCTTACAACGCCTGGGGGATACCTGCTGAGAGAAGAAAATGAGAACAAACATTAAAACCAAGGGATGACTGACCGGAAAGCCCACCTTGCCTCCTTCTAGAGCTACAGAGATGCTTCTTTTCTTTTCCGACCAGTGAGAGAGACAGTTGGTTAAGCTCCCGATGAGATACCATATGCAGATGCTGCTAAATAAAGCAAAAGATGCTGTATTTTACCCAAATGAGAAATAAAGGTTTCCTAGATTGTTTCTTCAGATTTCAGATTTAATAGCATGAGGGACAGCACAGCAAAGGAAACAACCTGGAAGTATTGCTCCTCTCAAAGTATGCCTCAACAAGAAATAATTCAGGCTAGGTCCGTGCAATACCTATCTGTTCTCTGTGACTTTTCCTCAAGTTGACCTTCGGGAATTTTTTTTCTCTTTCATTCTTATGTAGAAACTTTAAAATTTCGTTGTTGTGGTTTGAAAAAATATTTCTTTAAACTAATCTTGCAGTCGTAGCTTTCTGATGGCTCCCCAAAAGAGCAATTATACCCACACACTCTTAAGATGACAAACTCAAGCCTACTGCACCTCAGTAACTTTTCCAGCATCGAACTTGCCACTGTACTTGTCTGAAAGAGAACCAGTACTAGTTATACAGAGGACAAGTGCTTTAGGTAGACTGCAAGAAAGAGAGATGCAAACACAAAAACTATGCATGGTTTTAAAGATTTCTTACTCTATCTGGACGAACACTGAGGCCTAAATATTTTACGAACAAAAAAAACACCCTCTGATTCAGCTGGATTTTATGATGGCTCTGATACTAACAGGCTAAAAAAAAATCTTGCAAATCTACTGTTTCAATCCCAAAGTTCAGATGTAATTGATGAACACTGGTATTTCACAGTGCTGTATATAAACAACAGCTACACATGAACACTTTTAACAAAAATATGTTTTCTTTTTAGCCAAATACCTCAATATGCATTTGCGAGTTATCTCACGCTGGCCGCTTAACACTGGCCCTTTGCCTCCTCTCCCCATCATAAAGCTGCACACACTCACCCCTTGTTCTCTCCTGCTGTATTCCGCTCACCCAAGCATCCTAGCAAGAGCGTTATCCATTTAAAAGCCTGAACACACAAACTTACCACTTACTCACTGTGGCATGTGCTAGCCTAGTATTTACTTAGAACTAAATGGGAGAAAAGGCACTTGTAGTCTTGTCAAGCTTTTTCAAATATCACATTATTCTGCGGTTGATTTTGTTCTCATCAGAGTTCAACGCTGAATGCATCAGGGAATTTCACCCCATTTCAGTAGCATTTTTTTAAGTAATGCATGTTTGTGTTGCTCATCCTAAGTTCCCTCAAACTGAGAGTGCAGAACTCATGCGAAACTCAGAGGAGGAAAAAAGCTGGAGGAAAGCACATTTATTTCTTCTTTTTTCTTCCACCACAGAAATATCACGGAAGCTGATTTTTGCAAACACTGTGCCAGAGGGGCTCAGCATGGCTATCCGACACGGCACAGGGACAATGAAGACACCATACACTGGCCTGGTTATCATACCACTGACTGTAATCTGGGATGGATAACCAGTATGTGAAAGATCACACCACCTGTAGGCCAGATAACTTTGTTCCCAATTGTACACGTATTTACAGGGCTTCCTATGCTAATTCCTTCTCCAGAGAGGTTCCTTAGAATTAATTTGCAGTTGCTAATGGAATTAGTTGCTTGTTTCAGTACCTCAATTTGCATCTTATTAATCAAATTTGCTTCAATTCCTATGAAAACTGTCAGACTGTGTATTGGTTTATTTATTCAAATTTAATTTTGAAACAGCTTATCCGTTAGTTTAGGTGCTTCATAAAAAACACAACATGAAATGACAAAAACTTCCATTTAAAAGCCCAACACAGCAACTGTTTCCAACACAGAATCTCTACTTTCTAACAACATATTCCCTGAGCATCAACACATCGGAGCTGGAAGAAATCAAGGAGAGCACAAATTCTGCAACTGCTTTTCCCTCAGGAAGAAAAGTCAGAGCCTCCCCTTGTGAAAATGGACGGTGCTCAATCAGGAGCATTAACAGTTACCTTATGGGCACATCAAGCAGTTCAAACTACACATCTGTAATTCTCCTTTGACTCCAAATGTTCTTTCTGTATATAAAAATATTCCCCTTGGACACCAAGTTATAATAATTGGGATTCTACCTACCAGCACCTCTCCTCAGATAGAGGCTTCCTACAGACTTTTAGTAACATCCAAAATTGTTTTTCTTATCCTAAAGCTACACAGTGGCAGTGGCCAAAATACAGATAACATAGCCCTCTACAGAAACTGTATTTTGCTTGACAACTCCTAGCCCTATTTTGCCATTCTCTTTTCATAATTTTGCCATTCTCTTTTCATAATTTTTGTCCCTTTTTAATTTAATCATCAGTGTTGTTCAAACCTTATGTCTGAAAGGAGAACATATAAACTCAACAGCCTCTACACATTTCTACCCTACATAACCTTCCCTTATGTTGCTACTTATTGCTTTTCTATTCTTAACCAGCAAATACATTTCCTCCAGCACTTCATAAAGTTCCTCCCAATCTTCCTCCTCTGGCAGCAATAAGTTGAAATTTCTTCCAAGTAAAATGTCTGCTGAATTAAATTTTTGTGAAAGAAGAAGCGAAAGATCAGTTACACCTCCTCTGCTACTTCATACTCTTCCTTCCCCTTCTCCAACATAGTCTTAATTTATGAAGAAAAATACAGTAGCCTTCTTAATTACAACTGAAAGGCAACTTTAATTTCTATGCTAATCTCTTGTATTTTTTAAACTACAGAAGCACCTTGAACTCACTATGTTAAGCTCTGTTCAAGAAACCGAGTCTGTCCCAAAGGAGCTTAAAAATTTAAGTGCATGCTGTTATCTTCCATTACAGAGTCTGAAAATCACCAATGAAATACCTCAACGTGAAATAACTCCTGAATTACCAACATCTAACTATTCTCATCAAAGTATCTCTTCAATACCTAGCTATTCTCATCTTCCTAACATCACCTGTTAGAAGGCAGGAAGATATGTCAACATGTCTATAAATTGCACAATCACTGTTTACTGGCTGTCAAATTTCACTTTGCCTATAACCTGCACGCTCTGTGACACAAGAAATGGCAGGGGGTTATTTAACAGGCAGCTCAGTAACAAATACACAGTAATAACACAAAGCCAGGGTATATTATGCTGCTTCACCGAGACTACTACAAACAGTTCCTTCTCAGGAATATCGTTAATCTTTACTCATGGGATAGGTCCTGTTCGCTTGACCTTTTGTGTTGACAGGGTGTCTTGCATTTCACAGAGTAAACGGTTTTGTTTTCCACAGAATACGATGATATTCAGAAGATCTAGATTATGTTCTGCTGATGAATGCTCAATGTTCTTCGCTTGTGATAATATCTGATAATTTAAGAGTTCTGTCCTATGTCAAAATAAAGTAAAGGATATATCCAGAATAAAATAGCTTTGTTAGTTTTAGTTCACCGAAAGAGCTATTTGCATTTTTTAACATACAAATTATTATCCCAGGTTTTATCTTCTAATGCAATTACATGACTATGATATGGTTATTAGCACATCTGAAACATCATACTGCCTGTGAAAGACTCCAGAACTCAGTTAGTTGAACATAATCTTGGACTGCAAAGAAAAGACAGAAAAATTTGTTTCAAACAATCAATTCAAATTCTGTACTTAATCCAGGTAGGAGTTAAGCATCAGCAAACACTGCTACTGAAACCAATTTCTTCATAAAGTCTGAGCTTCAAGTTCCGCATATTTATACTGCACAAAATAATAACTGCCTTCACCAACACTCAAACACTATTCTATCACCCCTCCAAAAAGAAGCTTTTAATATTTGTTGTATGACTCTTTAACTTCTCCCTCAAAATTCCCAAAATGAGTTTTATTTTGCATTTGAAAATAATTGTGAAGTCTGAATTTATTTACGATGAATTTTCTTTATTGAAAAAACTGACTGAAGCAATATCTAAAAAAGGCATTCAGTTCTCTGTTTTTCCTGCTTAAATGAAATACATATGGTCTTTACCTTGTAAATCAACTCCCAAAACATTCCTAAGTTAAAATCCATTTCTAGCTGTGAAGCCTGCTTCTGCTGGACTTGTGACCCCCAAAATGAGAACAAACAACTGCATCTTATTTGGGCACGCAACCCTGTTCTTAATTGCCATGACAGGGTTGGAGTTATTACCCCCAGTTCAGCAACACCTGCCTTTAAGCCTCAATTGCATCCAGCTATACCCTAAGTACTCCAAACTGAAGTCAAGGAAACCACATGCTGTGTGGAGAAGAACACATGTGCTTGAACTTTTCATTTAAGCAAACAAAAACACCCTTCTTCAGATATTTAGGGCTACAGGTACTTTTTCTGAAAATAAACATCGTGACGTGATGCGAGATATATGCTCACACATGCAACGTATGCAACATATGTTGATCAAATCAAAGTTACTCTTTTCCTTTGGTGCACTTATGACTACTGATAAGGAGATTACGGCAGAGGGTGGTGATGCTCCCCCCTGTCATCTCTCCATCACTTTCTGATGAGACTGTTAGAAGTCATTGGGGCACAAGAACTTCACTTCTCAGCAGTGCACAGCTGGGTTCTCATATGGGGTAACACACACAAAAAAATCCTCTATCTATTAAAAGTATGGGGTAGCCCTCCTAAAGAAGGACAAAGACTGGAAAGATGTATGAAGAATGGCAGCGGAAAGATTAGGACAAAGAGGTATAAAAAAAATACTGAAAGGACTGCACTGTCCCTTCCCTCAAGGCAGTGAGGGAAGCAGCTGTTTGTAGCTTTCTCAGCCACTTTCATCCTACTTATGAGTAAATACCATACTGGAAGATAAAAAATTGCAGAGGTTTTTCATAAAGAAAAATTATGTGAAGCTGGCTACTAGAAAAAATCTGCTGCTAGAACAGTGGCTAGGGATAAAGGGACAGAGAAAGACTCTCAAGCAAACAAAGCAACTAAGGAACGTACGTATTAGAATATAAAAAAATTGCCCCTTTCTATTAATTATTAAGAGCTGCTTTCACAGTTGATTGAGAACACGTAGATCAAGTCCCTCAAATGCTTTTGCTTAAAAATTAAACGTATGATTTATAAAACACTATTTTAAACCTATTTTCATAATCACCCAGGCTGAGTGATTTGTTCTCCCGTGTGTCTGGAGGCCACAAAACCACGTAACAATAGTTTATTATTGAAAGTGTTTCTGTAACCTACTGCTGCATCATTACCTTCAGCAAAAGGAACATAAACTTCCACTGCACTCACTAGAGATGACCAGAGTTGTTTTACTTGAATATACAAAAAACTGTGTGTTGTTCAGGTATTACTAACCACACAAAGAAGATAAGAAAAGGAAATGTACTTAACGCACTGCATGACTGACTTCAACTAGCAAAACAAGATCATTCGCCTGAATGCAACAATTATGAAAACAATATAGCTGGGGCCTAATCCAAAAACAGTTCGTTTATTAATATGAAGGTCTTTTATTTATTCTTGAATACCTATCTCTGAATTAAGGAGAGGAGGTACTTCTTTTACACTTGCAGCACGCTTACCTGTATGCAGCACCATTAAGCTCTGGATGAACAACTCCGGGATCCATGCTGGCCCAATGTGTAGCTGCAGTCAAATGATCTTTGTTAACACAGTTTTTCAGACTGTCTGGAATACGACCTAGGATGAAGTGAGGGAGAGGGAGAGGAAATAAAAAACCATTTTTAAAAAAAAAAAAAAAAAAGAGCCTTATGCTTTTAATGTATCTACGTTAAAAACAGTTATAAATATTTTCATATTTAAATCAATACATAAAATCACACTAAGACCTTATTTTTGATCCTCACTGTTCCCCTTTTGTCTGGGACTTAGTTAATAATGGTTAAAATGCTCTGTATATTTTTCATTTCTCTGTCTCTCTCTGTCTTTTGCATACAGGGTCTCAATAAAACCATAATCAACAAGATTCATGCTTTCCAAGAAGCTAAAACTTGAGTACAGAGCATGGTTGCCACTCAAATTCAGTACTGTAGCCTCCTGCTCTCTGTCTTTAACTTCACTTTCCTCCTTTTCCCTCCACATGTAATAGCAATAAAAACACTTATTGAAGAATGTAGGATTCTGAATGGAATTTTGCCATAAACCTGAATATAACCGACACTTTTTTCCTGTCCTTCTGATCTTCCCCTTCTTTGTATCAATTGCTCTTCACATTTATTTACTATAATGTATTAATCCTCAGCCATCTCTTTCCTTCCTACAAAAAATGAAAATACACCAGAAAACTCCCTTCTTCATTCCTTCAAAACTTTTGCTTAATCTCTGAAGTATAACTGAAGTTTTAAGACACAGATACTGGAAAATCTGTCAACCTGATTCAGCACATACTGGACAAGCCTCTGACTGTCTTCTGCAGAGCCATCTCCAGCCCTGCAAAAAATGACACGAACAGATACGATACAAATTTTCTTCATGGCAACAGGAATATTTTCACCTATTTCAACGGGAGATCAACTGGAGCCTGTGTTTTTTCTGACATCTGTTTTAATGTATCCTTTCTGAAGTTTAATCTTACTGTGCATTTGCACACACAGAGGTAGAAAGAGGTAAGTTCGAATCTACCCCTGCTACTGTCGGCAACAGTACTCCAGAAACAGTTTCAAAAACTGACTGTGCTCCATCATTAAAGAATCCAGGCTTTTTGTCTCCAACTTCCTACTGAAACTTTAGTTAAGGACTTCACTACTCTTTACCTGCTCTTTCTATCCATCAGCCTGGCCACAATGGGGCTGTAAAAAAGCCTTTTCACAGAATTGCGTTTTGTCTAGCGGATACCATCAAATACTTGTTACTCCATGACTTGCGCTTATGTCACTAAAACTTCCCACGTCTCCTTCCACGAGCCGAAAGGGCTTCTTAGTTCAATATCGCACAGGATGAGGTACATGTCCCATTAGGGGTGAATTCCCACCCTTCTGATTAGAAATCATCTTCTAAATTTAGCTGAAATATGCATCCATCTAAACTTCTGCCAAAATTGTCCATGAATTTAAACAGTATCTTTCTTCTTCTGATGTTTGTCCTTCTCAAGTATTTTTAAACTGCAATCATGTCTTCCTCCTTGCCCCTCTTATTCTCCATTTTGCTAACTTCTGAAGGCATGTTCTACTAGTCTCCCCTTACAAAACAGTATTTATTTATTTATTTTAAACTTAGAATGATCTTTTCACTTGCCATGCTCGCCTTCCCGTTTCTTCCATTACTGTTTTCAGTGGTCCTCCTTATTTAATACTTTGAATGTTTTGATGTTCAAAAATATATCTAAAGATATTTAATCTCTGCCTAATTATTTTTATTTTATACATCAGAACGTCATTTGACTTTTTGGTAACAGCAGAACCACTTAACATCTTTATCATCAGATGGTAGTCATAGCCTGAGTTCCTTCATTGTACACCTTTTTCCAATTAGTTTCTCTCTCTACAGCCTCTCTCCTCTGTGTTCCCCTATGGCTTTCACATATCCAGCTTTATCCCACACTTCCTGTATCTTTCCTACATTTGTTTCACTGCAATTCAATGTCATTCTCACCTCCCTAATATTGGCCTCAGTTTGATCTTACTACAAACCATGTGCAAACACTGAAGTGCTGACAGCTTCAATACAAATCAGTGACACAGATCGCTGATAGAACAATCACACACTTTAAGAAAATACAGGTCTGTCTTCCCAGGCACATACGTTTGGGCTACTGCACAATATTTAACACAAAACTAGCTCTGTATAGCTGACTCTTACTCAGTTTTCAGATCGTAGCCTATTAATGCTTATTTGCACATCAATCATCCCCCACATAGGTATCGCATGCTGGTTTGTGCAATCTCTCCCAGAGCTATTTGGGAGCAGGGAATCGTTATACAACAACTTAATGAATGTACTATTAGAGTTCTTCCAGAGTATAAGCACAAGGACCAATTGAGCAAATGGATGGTCGGACTCTTTAGGTCCCCTCTAAAACAGAGAGAAATAGCCCTGTAAAGGGCAAGTCAGATCAGGAGTTTAAGAGATGCCTTTAATCACCATCCAGAGGAAACTCTTCTTTCTGCACAGGCTATAAATGAAAGTAAATTGCCCAGCCTCTCCAGGCACAAGAGACAGGAAAGGCTACTGCTAGTGCTTTTTGTATAGCAGAGCAATGTGTTGGCACTAAGCTACTCTCAAGGTGACACAGATGGCCCTTCATGTCTGCAGAGCATTCAGTCTATATTGCCAAGGGGGAAACAGCAAAGTCCTACTAAAGAGAGAACATTAGTGCTTAATGAATCATTTTCCAGTATGAAAATCCTTCCTTTTATTTTAGGCTACAAGGGATTCAAACCAATGCCAAATGGCTCGCTCTTCTCATTTTATTTATTAGCAGTGCATGTTCAAGACATAACTGTTTTCTCTTATGTGAACAGTTTACAATTACATGGTAGTTATATAACAAAGAGACTTTGCCCTTTAAAATGCCAGACTTCCTTAGCAATGTTTTAAAGAGAGGAACATCTCAAAGAGAGTACCCTCCCAACAAAATACTGAAAACTTTGTTTTGACATAGAGAATGAGTTTTTGAGATATGAGCATTACTAGCAACAGCATGAAGCTCTAGATGCTTTCTCTCTGAACATTACAGCCTTAAGGACACAGAAATTCCAGACTGTCCTCTAAGACAAATTTGGATGAACTTTGGAAAATACAAAGGAGCCAAAAAGAATAAAAGAAACAGAACTGCTCATGACAAGTATAAGGGGGCATCTAGGAAAATCTATGAAAGGATACCAGCAATATCTAGATGACTTGCAGTCAAACCCATCAAATAGGTACTATTTACATGCGACAAAAAAATAAGCAGATTTTTCATATATAAGTATATTTCTGTTGTATGGAAGAAGTACTTATTTTGCAGTGCCTGCCTTCGCTTTGTAATTGCAGTGAACCTCCAAAATGATCTGTTCCAGTTCTGAGAACAGACTTAGTGGGTATTTGCTCATTTCTATGTTCCAAATACTAGAAGTGGTAAATAAAACCTTAGGCTGGTTCTTTTCAACGTCTTTCAAGACTAAGAATGAAAAAGTTTGTTAAAAAGAAATACGCAGTGAAGGAGCTAATAAAGTGAGTTAGTACCTGTGATCGCCCTTCGGATCTCTCGTGCTGCTTCCTCCCGCATCTCAATTGAGGCTTGTTCACTATACCAGGCTGCATGTGGGGTACAGATCAGGTTTGGTGCATCCTTCAAGGGGCCCTGACTAAAGCTAAACGAAGATTTAAAACAAGATCAAATGAAAAAAAAAATTGGGGGGGTAAAGGGGGGATCCAGATGGATTTGTACATACACAGATTAATTTCTACAACAGAAAAGACTTGCATTTCTATTCCTTGTTGGGTTTGTTTTTAATTCTGTCAGTTAATTTAATACACTATTCATGGTATAAATAAGCAACAATTACCTCTCATAGACTCAAAGCGTAGAACCTATGTATAGTAGCAACATTAGCTTCTGTCCAATGCACTTATTGCTAACTACAGCCACTGCTACTCCAGTTCTGGTGCAGAAATGCATAAAGCAAGACCCAAATCAATCAGGATGTCATTCCATTTGTCCGTTTCATCACAGTTTTACTTTTACTGCATTAGCCAACAAAGCTCTGTTCTCTCAAGAGTCAGTGTCAATGTGACATTCAGTCATTTAAAGAAAAAAATCTTACAATTATTTCCAAATAAGAAGTGTGTCCATCAGCAGCCTCAACTTTTTTTTTTTGGTAATTCAGGGGTTTTTTTCTGTTATTTTTAACTATTTTTTCTTTCCTGTTCCTTTATAGAAACTCCACAGAAAGAAGGAAATTTACTTTACAGATTGATTTTCAGGGAAAGAAATGAATCTGTGTAAAAGTGCTATCACAGATACAGCGTAAAGAAACTGAAAATAATGGAAACTCGCTCCTCCTATTTATTTCCAGTTTTAATAATCTTACAGTCAACTGTAACAACAAGAGAAAAAATATTTTAAGACAAAAGCGTGCTTTCAGAGTTGGTCATAATTCATAAAATGATAGATTTCATCTGTAGTTCAATAAACATCAGAATATCTGGCAAAACTCTTGAATAAAGAGTTGCATGCTGCGATCAGATAGACATGCAGCACTGAAGCAAAAGGAAATTGTGGCTGTAATCCTGCAACTGAATCTCTGCAGATGGCATCTCCATGCAGTAAATGGGGCTTCCTATAGGTGCAACGGTCTGCTTGTGCAGATCTGAGATCTGAATTGGGAAGAATGTATGTAGCTGAAAGTCCCTTGAGACTCTGGCTTTGCACAGCACTACTGCATTGTAATGACTACATTTAGAAGTAAATGAATGCAGGGTATGCATAAATAAAATTAAATATTTGTGATGTGGCATTGTGTCTCAGTAGATATAAAAATTCTACCTAAAAGGATACTATTCTGTTTTTTTAAAGCTTCTGTTCTCTGCCCCCAGCTGATACGAGAGACTGTGCTCTCTCCAGTCTTTACAACCTGCCCTCAAGTCCTGAATCTGTTCCTCTTCAAAAACTTATGTGGATTGTTCCAGTTAAAATTAACACTTCTCCCTGCCCAGACTGAACAACTGAAAAAGGCTTGTCACATACAAGCACTAAGCTACACCAGCCTATTCTCATAACTCTAACTCAGAAGTCAGGCTCAAGACTCAAGGACATATCAAATAGGCTCATTTCTGATTAGGAGTGCTGATGTCGTAATACCAATGCCACTTTGGGGAGCGGTACATCTCTGCCTAAAATGCTGGACTTCTCAGTGTCATTCAAAATCTAAGGCTTGTGCTACCAGCTCTGCTAACGACAGCAGAGTTACTACTCCCCTGATAAAGGGTAAACCAAAACAAAACCTGCACTCTGACCACCTTCCTTATCTTAACTTTTTTTGCAACCTGTTACATTTATGGCTTTCCTGCAGAGGCAATCTGGACAAAGATATGTCTTGTCCTCTGGAAAGGTGTCATAAAGTAGTTATTTCTCACACCAAATCTCAACTCTTTGCCTTCTGAAAGAGTCTGTTCAGACATCAACATTAGTTGCCTCCAGAGTTGCATCAATGACAAAGGAGCACTCCCCTCAAAGCCATGACACAAAGCCATGCCCAGGATTTGAACCCAACTCCCTGCTATTTCTACTAAATAAACCCATTGAATTTTTTTTTTTCCAAGGAATTAAATCTTGGATGTCACTTTTTTCACTTCTGACCACATACACAAGCTCCATCTACATTTGCATTAGTCCAGTGCTGCACAGATTCATGTTGCTTTACTAAGGAGTATTTAGCTACCAAATGAAGGGAAAACTCAATTTACTTGTTGCTGTTGATTGTATCATGCACTAAGACTTAAAAATAAGAAAGTGAACAAAATAAAAAGAAAAGAAAAGGAAAAGCACCTGAATGGTTCTGACTCATGTACATCTAAGGCTGCCCCTCGTATCCTTCCTTCCTTCAGGGCCTGTGCAAGTGCTTTTTCGTCTACTAACCCACCTCGAGCTGTGTTGACCAGGAAAGCCCCTTGTCTCATCTAGGGAAAGTTAAAAACAAGAATGATGAAATAAAAATAAATGAAATAAAATCGTTGTGGCATTATTTTTTACTCAAAAGAAGCATCCATTACAACAAAGGCTATTCAGCTGATTTAACCTGTAACAGTTGTCTTCCCTTTCCATTGGAAAGTACCACAAAATGTGATGCTTCTAACACAAAATGCTATTTCACAGCACTTCATAACCTTTTGGTTCTTGTAAGTAGTGTCTTTTAATAGAAGCGTTGTTTCAGATATTGTGCAGTAACATGATCAAAAGATACAACTGTGCATATGAAAGTGACAGATCATTTTATGCCTTTTTATTTCACTGTGAAATTGCATGAGACAGAAACTACAGCACATTCTTAAACAAATTCATATTTTGTGGTTTTCAACTTTCACACAAATAAAAGCCTACATGAATTTTTCAGAAAAATCAATGCTTTTGGATTTTCAAACACTTTTCCCTTTAGTTGCCAAAACACAGTGGATCTATGTTTTATTTATTTTTGTTACTTCAGCTTCCTCCTCCCTGTGAGACTTTTCAAATAAAGGTCTAAAGAATTTTTATATTATTCAATTAAAAGGCATGAAAATGAATTTGGTTGAGAATGCTGTGTGCCCAGGAGAGAAGCTGTGCTGTGCATTGTGCAGTTTAGCATTGTAGATGACACCGGTGTGGGGAGAACTACAAGAATTTACACCATAATACATCCACAACTTGAAAACAAAGTGGCAGTTTAAATAAGAGAGATGGTACGGAAAAAAAATAAATTACTACATCCTGCTTCCAGATGCCCTAATACTTCATCCTTTACCAGATGTCTCAAACACAGCTTCTGATCTCAGAAGCATTTCTGTGCATGAAGGTAAGCATGTGAAGAGCAGGAACCATGGCGAAGGTGAATGATAAAAATCTCACTTTGTGCTGACTCCATCTCTCACCATAAGAACAAAACCCCAACATTTTGACACCAAGTCAACTACTTGAAACCTACATGTCAAACTAAAGCTTATGTAAATGGATCCTTACTCTAAAAGACTGATTCGAAATGCCAAATTCATGAACAACAAGGAGGTTTGGATGAAAGTCAGCTACGAGAATTTTTTTTTCCTGAGATCATAGGAAATACTAAACAATTAACATGCATATGCTTGCAGTAGGGTTATAAGAAAAATAACCACCATATTCTCCTGGCCAACTCACTAGGTTTAGTGTGGCCCTGGCTCTCTCCATTTGCAGACTCTTGGGCTTACAGGAGAGCCATCTATTGGTCTGTATACCAAAACCAAAGTCCACTTGTAAGAGCACAACTAAGGGATACTTCTTCCAGTTTTATGTAATTAATTTGGGAATTGGAACAGTGAAGAAATGGTGGCATGATACTAAGCTGGTCTAGTAACAACAAGACGTTCCTGATGGGAACCATCACTGCATCTCCACTACTTAAGTCAGCTGTCAGAACTAGATCAAAACTAGCACAGGAGGGCTCACCCAAGTGACAATCACACCTGCTGTGCAGACACGCCATATAGGCTTGCGGGAGCTCATGTACCCTTCCTATTTCTGTGCTCTTGCAAATAGATAATTTGAGTTTTAAATATAGCTTAGTGTATTTATATGCCCTTTGAAGGACTTGAAAATTTTAATCAAAGTGAACCCTGCCAAAATTTTCTGTTCAATCTTAATAACCTTGCTTGAGTTTTCATTTTAGGACTATTTTAAAAACTCTACAGCTACTACTAAGACAAGTCCAAATCTAACAGAACATGGCTGCATAAATGCATTCTAGTGGGAATGAATTATGTGACTCATGATAAACTATAAGGGTGGATGCAGCTGGAGATGACCCTTAACAATGGGTGGAAGCTTGAAAGAGCTTCACAGCTAGAACTGCTGACGGCTGTTAAATTCACCTACACTAAACCTGCACAGCTGCTTTAAAAATGTATTGCGTTTAAATTGCAGCGTCTTTTTCTCAAATCTGTAAAACTAAAGATGACCTCAGATTCTCTTAAGAGCACTTGATTACCATGGGTTCAATAAACACAAGCCTGAAACACTTCTCTGAGCTACTCTGGGTCTACAAGGCCAAGCACAATGGCTAGGCAGAATGCTGACTAATTAAAGGGAAAAGCTACCGAAAGAGAAGACTGACACCAAATTTTCAAAGACATTTTGTTATGTAATTTCAGATTCTAAATAAAATTCAGGGTGAGACTGGTGAAATGAGATGCACCATACTTCTCTGTACTTTGTTTAAAAACTGGTTATTACATGAGCATGCAATATTGGACAAAAGTGGCATGCAATGCTCTCTAAAAATTTTAGGCCAAATCTAACATCCGTCAGCCTAAAAAAACCTATTCTGCTCTTTTTGATACATATTCAGAAGATCTGCTCTATGCAACCTAAGCAGCCAGAGGTGTTACAATCTTACGGTTTTCACATCAGCTGTTTATACAGACTGCTTCATCCAAACTTTTACCCAAAGCAAGAACTATCTTCTAACTTTTTAATCCTTGCTTTAATCATGAAGGATAACAAACAGCAAGATGAATGCTTACGACATCCTTTCCAGTACAGACTTTATTATATGCATTTCATTTCAGATGGTATCACGCAGTTTTAGTCTGTTTTGTTTCATCTGTTTCTCTGATTAATGCACTAAGCCCTCTCCAAAGTTCATCGCATTTATCCACCTCCACTGAAAAACTTCCCGTGACACACTGGCCCAAGTTTTACAGTCCACTGTATAATGAGTGACCACTGCTAAGCCTCCAGACGGTCCCACTGAATTCCATGTAATTCTGTTTGGGTCTAGATGTCTGCTTGCAAAGACATCTAACCATGTAATAACCATTAAATGTACCTCAGCACAGAACAAAAGAGAACGTTCAGGGCAGGGTGACAGAGCTCTGTTCTCTTAGAGATTTACATTTTAAACTTCTTAATTTTTTAGAGTTTTAAATCCCAAACCCCGATTTTATGTAGGGATGGATCTGCCAAATCCCTAAACTCTCAAATCAAGAAGTGTGTTATATCATCGGTTTTCTGCCATGATCCTACAAGACTGTGGAACACGTTCAGTAATTACCTCAGTTCTCCTAAAGTTCAAGAGTAGTAGGTGCAAACTATTCCTCAGAAGGCAAGCAATCATTTTACTGCAAAAGAGTGCTACTGTCATTGTTACCAACACATACAAACACTACATATACAAAAAACAGCAAAATCAGCTGTTATATCTTAGAGTTTCTTTCCTGTACACTATTTACATTCTTACATCTCAACATTCTATTTCTTGCTGTTACCTACACTGAGGTCAGACTCAGAAGCTAGACATTTAATGAAAAAGCTTACTATCAGATTAGTCAATAACAGAGCAGTTACTACACCTAGATTTTGAAATTATTTTAATATTACCTAAAACTTTAGGGAGAGGTTAGTACTAATTCCAAGAAACATTATTTTTCCAAATAATGCAATGCTCTAAATACAATCCATTCATGAAGCGCTCTGCAAGCATCAGGACTGAGCACAGGGGGGAGCCATTTAGTCATAATCCTTAAATTGCATCTAAAGAACTCAAACTGAGGAACAAGAATGAAAGGCAGAATTGCTACCTGAAATACACAGGTAAAGGAAGTAGCTACTAGAAGACATAGAAAAAGTGCTTTTACATAAATGCAACTTCATTAAATCTGAGCAACATTAAGAAGAGCAAATTATTCCCACAAATGTTACTGAGCAAAAAAGACAATTAAGACAACAATACGTAAGCCACCAGCTAATTCCTAATCAGTTATAAACCTGCTTGATCTCGAAGTAGCAAAAGGGAAAGAAATGTGTTTCAAATGAGAATCTGCCTGTTTACAAACATAAACAAACACTATACAGTGTCAGCCACCAGCACTGGTGTGGAGGGCACCCACAGAGATTATTACCTGCTTTATGGTGAAGTCATTAATAAGATGATGATTGTGTTCATTCAAGTTGCAGTGTAGGGTAACACAGTCACTGTGGAACAGCAGGTCCTGCAAAGTGCTCACCCGCTGCAGTCCCAGAGCACGCTCCATGCCATCTGAGAGGTATGGGTCATAGAAAATCACACTGAAGCCAAAGGCTTTGGCACGTAGTGCTACTGCTTGCCCAACACGCCCTAGAACAAGATAAACATGCAATGAGAACAGATGTGAAGCAGCTGGTGTAAGGTAGCCGCCTCCTTCCTATTGCAAATGCTTGTATCAAACCATACTGTTTTGTACAGCAACTGGAAGAGGATAAAAAAGAGGCGGCTCCCATTCCACTAGAAATCATCACTAAGATCAGAAATGTTACATCTGGGCTGTTTCACATTGCCTTGTTCAAAACAAAGCAGGAGGCTTGCACCTTTTGCAACCCGAGATCTGAAATGCCAGAAGATGTCACGTAATCTGCAATAATCTGTGTAATACAAGGGCTTGCCTGCTGGGCCTGTTTATGGTAAAACACTACTGCTTGTGAACACATCCTGCCAAGGACTTATTCTTACCCATGTCGGACCAGCTGGCTTTAATAAAAAGCTATAAAATTAATCCTCAAAAATGGATGCAATAAAAGATAATTTGTTTAATCTGAGGCTCAACCACTCTCAATGCATGGAATCTCCTTTCTGAACTAATATTTTCTTTCATTTTGAGTAATATCTTTTCAGCATTAAAATACCTACAAGAATCCTGTCATCTAAGGCTTTAAAAAATTTTGTATCCATCTACCTAAATGATGAATAAATACAGTCCACCATACAGCGCCTAGTTAAGAAGAGTGCGGTATTCACATTGACCTTAGCTTTTCTCTCTTCCACTTTCCTTACTGTCATATTTTAGATATGTGCCTGAAATTGCTGTTTGGGCATGACTCCATGCCACATGTATCAGGAGGTGTGATTTCCCCTTTGACACGCTACCAGTAAAACCCAGAGAAAAAAAGTGAATGAGTGCATCTGGTGAGTAAGGGTAATTTGAAGAACGAGAACTAACACACTTCTCAGGTTAGAAGACTACGCACTAGACGCTTGTGTTAGAGTATTACAAATGTTAGATAAAGACATTTCAAAAGCATCACTAGACACACCATAATAATTATGCCTCGTTTTAAAAAAAAAAAGTCAACAAGTTTTCTTTTGTAACATCTGAATTTGTTCAAAAAAGCATCAAATTAACACAGGGAAATCCCGTCTCTTCCCTATTGTGCTTGAAGGGATTTCCCTTGCTTTTCAGTTTCTCTTTGAATAAACTTAAGAAGCCACAGGAAGAAAGGTTTTTTGTTGATCATTTAACCTGAACACAGCAATTCTGCAGTGCTTAGTGACAGATGTGCTTGGAATATTAAACAGTATGTCAATCTGATGGGGGCTGTCTGCTTTTCTTTGGGGATGCCAAGTTAAAATACTCTTCAAAATCTTTTATTTCAATACTTGCATACATGTTATTTGTTTGCTTTCCAAGCTGTTTTTCATAAACTTGAATGAGACAATTTTCAGCACAAACACTGTATTATTTTCAAATTTTGGCACGTTCACAGCTCAAGGAATCAGTCACACAACTGTAAACATTTTTTTTTTTTTTAAACGAAGCATATCGCTTTTACTCCAGCTCCATTCATTTTCACATGCAACATTCTGTCATCTGTTCTTTTTTACACTCTTTACAACACTAATACCTGAGGGGATTCACGACAGTGAAATCTCTTACAACAGGCTCTCTAGTTAAAGCTACGCTTTCCATTCATTGCAACCAGGCTAATAAACCAAAGACTTCTTCAATGTGCGCAAAGTTTCCTTCTGAAACATACGTGTACTTCTAGCCAGAATTGTCCTATTACAATTATTTTATGGGATAAAACTCTTCCGCAATTGACAATTCATATTTAGTCTTAGTCGTTCGACAAATACATAGGTAGACACACATAATGTGACAATTGCTTTTTAAACTACAGCCCAACAATATAGTACAACCACAAACCTATGATGTTCTTTTCCTTTCCTGAAAAACTTCAGTTATATAAGACTCTCCTGGGTATGAGGGCTCAAAACCTACCTCAGCACATCAAGAACAACAGAACAGCACACAAAGCATCCCACCTTCGGGACAACTCTATCTTAAAAGCATATACAATTGCTATGAATATTCATGGCTTCTTCCAGGGAAATTCTGAAGTTCAAAATATCAAATGAACTTCTTGGTCTGTAGTGTGGGAAGAATGCAGAAAATGCGTGTTGCATACAATTGCAAAAAAAAGCAGAAAGCAACAAAAGCCTATTTTAGAAATTAGAGATTTATATAAAGCTCTAGCAAAGCCCATGTATCATTTCAGTGACACCAGAATTGTGAAGAGAGACTCATCGCAAACGCCTGGGTCTCCTGTTACATTCTGACCCATCTACTCCCCCCCATCCAGGTCACCCAGTTTGCAGGGGTCTCTGACCTTGACCTTGCCAATGACCTGATTTGAGTGTGACAGCATAGTAGGTGCAGTTGTCAATGACCCCCGCCTAGCCCTTGGGCAAAGAATGAGCATCCTATGCTGGTATTACGAAGTTTTACAAAATGTCCTCGATACCGTGGAAATGTTGATGACCTGCTTGCAGACTTCCATGGAAAGAAAAAGTGCTTTCACTTAGCAGCTCTTTCCTGTCTACGCAACAGTAATGGAGAATCTGGGTAATTTTTCCATCCTCTTGGAGGACTCTGAAATGTGGAGAGTGCCATTTTGTTACACGTCCTGCTGAGCACATTACGAGAGCTAGTAGGACTGCTAAGGGTACATCATTTATTGCATGGTAATACCACCTAACTCTTAAGCCTTAATATTTTCTGATAATGCAGATCAGTACTTTGGCGAACATCTAGTCAGGATCGTGGGACTGTTGAGAGAATATAGCAGGTGAGGAAAGACAAACTGAGCGATGACATTCATTATGATGTGGAGACAAATGTATTTGGAGGAATTTTACCTCTCGAGTGAGGAAATGCATTAGCTATTAGTCATCAGCATTTGTAACTGGGAAGGAAGGGGAAGGGAGTGTGACTTCACTGCCTTCACTGCTGTAAAACTATCATTACAGCAGAACCAGGTCCAGCTATCTATTCATCCAAGTACTTACATGCTGCTGCTCATAAATATTCTCCTTTAAAAAAAAAATCCTAAATGTCTAGATATAAGGTGAAAAGATAGCTTTTTTTTTTTTTAAATGCAGGGCTTACTATCTGAGCTTGTGATGCATCACTTGAAATATAGGACACTGGATAGTAATAAAGATTAAAAGTGACAAAGACAGCTGTTTAACGATGTGATATTATTATTTATGTAAGGCTCAAAGAATCACACACTTCATAAAGACAGAAAGAAACACAGGCTCTGCCCTAAGGAGCTCAGAGGCTAACCAAACAACACCACAATGACGGATGGTATCCAACAAGCACATGAAGGAGGCATTATGCTGTTGAGTCTCTGCTTATCTTCAAGCTCAATACAACCAGAGGATGAGAGATGGGGTTAACTTTAAAGGAGGAGCACGGAGTAATAGGATTAAGCAGGATAGACCAAGTGTCAAAGCAGGAATATGCATGAGAGGAGGCAAAGAAAAGAGAGTGGGTGATGGAAAGAAAAAGGCAAGTGAGTCATGAAACTTGGCTAGACCAGTGGATAAGGAAGTGAGTAGCTGAAGCTCTGGAGGGAATGACATAGTCATTCCCTAGCACAGAGATAGGCAAGAGCTAGGGTGTTTCTCTTTGGCAAAACAAGAGAAAAGCCCAGGAACAGATGTGAAGAAGGCCTGGAGTTAGCTGTTGCAGCAGCAAAGTGATAAATTTAAGCAACCCACTGCTGAAGAGACCACATGTTTAAGACAAGAATAGAGAAACATAGCTGTGGTTGAGATATGAGATGATCTCAGATGCGCATTAACGAGAAAAGGACAGAAACACGGATACTACACAGAACTAGAGAAAAGAAGGACTTAGTAACAGATGATGAGAATTGTTTATTTTGTGTGCAATACATTCACTTCATAGTCTCTTAGTGGTTCATCACTTCTGACGTTGACATGTCTAAATAATAAATAATAAATTGAGGAAAAACTACAGATGTGGGAAGAGGCCACTAGTAGAGAAACATAACCTAAAGGCAACAGGCTTTTGAAGGTGGTTGTAAATACACGTTTTAGTCTGAAACTAGAGACAGGTAGCCTCTTGAAGTGGTCTGTAGGAGAAAAGAGTGTATATCACAGCCTAAGTGCCTGAAGTGCTCAAATGTAAAGTCTAGTACAGCCCTATTTCCACATCTTCTAAGACTACATTTTTATTCTTCATTCATAGGAGTTTGTTAGAACAGGTCAGAATCAAAATGTTGTGCCTATTCACATACATGCACAAAAAGAAACAGTGGAAGTTTTCAAAACTGACTTTAAAACTTAAATTTTCCTTGAAATTGTGAATATTCTGTTGTAGGAAAACAAATAGGAACAATAAAAGGCTAGAGAAAATGACTGGTTAATAACTGTTACAGATGTGTACCTTTGAAATCAGATTTTACTAGCCTTTTAATATACCACGCACACAAAAGGCTTGCTTTTTAAAACTAAAACCAAAACCTAGCGTTTTACATAGCTTTACACACATATTGGCAATCCGACTATCCATTTGTTTCTCTACACTTTTCAGTCATTCACAACAAAACCAACACACACAAAATTCACTTAAGTAAGTCAATAATGAATGAACTTTTTTCTAATCTCTATCTGGAATTTGTGCAACACAAAAAATGCAATGCCAACAGGACCGGTATCTCCAGCAAACAGCATGTGAGCCAAGGCTTAAGTTTCAAAAACCAGGTATCCATTTCCATTTTTAAAACACTGCATGTTATTGTCTATTATTTATGTACAGATGCTGTGACTGTGAGTGCAATAATCACTGTGTGTTCAAATGAGGTGCATAATTACATGGGTATAGATTTGAGAAAGCAACTTCACGACTAACTTTTTGAAAGTCGTATTTTAAAGGCAATTCTTTGACTGTGAAGATGTTTTTGGCGTGTTGCATACTCATTTAAATAAGTACTATGTAACGCCAGGCTATTTTCAGCTTCCAAAAGTAAGAGTTCATGGCTTGAGTTATTTGACAGCAATGTGTAACTGGAACAGTCATTTAAGTATGATGCCTTGTTGTCAAAATCATATTATTAATTCCTGTGGATGAATACCACAGCAATTACATCTACAATCTATCAGATCTTTGATAAGACAAGCACATGACTGAATAATTTTTATACAGAAACTGACTTGCTTGTTTTTCCTCTCTACTTCTGTAACAGACAGTAATTAATTCATCTCAAGCAAGCCTGTCCATCTGTTAGATGCTGAACCACATTTAGGGCCATTCAGAGAGGTAAGTAGGTGATTTTGTTAGCTCTGGAAACATTTCAAACTTTCTTGCATATATTTTTCCTCTCATTTGAGCTGAAATACAATTTCAGATGCAGCTCAACCAAATGCACGAAATAACTGTTCTGCAGGCTGTTACTGCAGCAAAGACTTTTCAGATATGTTAAAAACAGTAAAAGGAAAAAAGCACAAACAGAACCAGATACGACAATGGAAGAGAAATACAACATATACATGTGACACCGGGTTGAAGTAGCAAGATCCTTGTCCTGGAAAAGGGAAGTGATGGTGTCTCCTCTTATAACGAGTGTGCCTGACACCAGGCAATACAGCAACAGAAAGATGTACAGAAATTCAATGAATTGAGAGAATATCAACAAGAAAATAAGTTTTCTGAGGGAAATGATGATGTCTAAGGGGAAAACATTTGAGACACACAAACACCAGGAATGAAGAGGTATTATACAGAATGCTTGACATGGAAAGGAGTGAACTAAGCGTTCCATTTTGATAGCTCAAATCTTCATAATTTTTTTAAAGCAACGGAAGGCGAGGAGTATTAAACCACCTCTCAAGCCAACGTACCTAATCCAATAATGCCCAAGGTCTCCCCTCTGATCCTGGCAGCTCCAGAAGCCACCTCCCGAATCTGTTCAACGCTTTGTACTCTCGTGCCTTCTCGCAAAGCCTGGTGAAGCCAGGTGGTTCGCCTGTACAGGTTCAGAATGTGGCACATGGTAGAATCTGCCGTTTCTTCTACCGAGGCAGCTGGCACATTACACACTGCGATCCCTGCGAAGAATGAGGGGAGAGGATACCAGTTGCCAAACGTTTCTTACTTTTTCCCATTTAACAGCAATTCAGGAGTATGATGTTTAGATTTACAGATATTTCAACACCTGTTTTGCACAAATACTAAGTTTCTGACTGTAATGACAGACAGAATACTTGACATAATAGTTGATAAATATGTTCAAACTTATTTTTTTATCATTTTTTATTACTATTTATTGTGTTTGCAAACTAAGGCAAGCAGTAAACAATCCACTGAAACCAAAAAAGGAAAGTACTGAAGATGTCAGGTAGTTCAGAACACAAGTCTTGGTAAGCGTTTTACATGCACACTGCGCTAGGTGTTTTGAATAGCAAAGAGAAATCTGCTGTGCTCTCAACAGTGCGATTAATGATCATTGTTTAGATTTAATTGTGTGAGTTAGCTTCCCATCACTGAGCACATACTCTCCCAAAAGCTATCTATACAAGTTGTAAAAAAGATAAAGTAATTTATAATGACATCAACTCTTATAAAGCCCTCATAGGATGACTATTAGTAATTCCAATTCATGTATAGGTAATCACAACAAAGGGAGGGACAATTTGTTTCGTGTTGCACACGGATTTGTAGAATTACAACACACAGAATCCAAGCCCTTTCCAGGTCCCTCAAATTAAAGAGACAAACCATCTAATTGTCAATAGGGAAATATAAAATCTGCTTCTGGATGGCATGTAAAGATAACGCAAAATTAAGTCCATGCTCCTAATAGCTGAAAAGTTACTAGCTGAAAAGTGCGTAACGTCAAGCAGCTAAAAGACCGTTACAGATTTCCACAGACAATTGTGGAAGGTGGATTGATTCAAGACTCTCAATATTCCTTTTTTACTTCAAAGAAACAGGCAACATGATTGTAATTGCATGCAAGTTATCCTATTCTGCTTTTTACCTTCCAGTACTCAATATACAGCAGTTAAGCAAAATGTTTACTTGAAAAAGTGTGTGTCCCTTCTGACTCGTCTCTCTTCATTCTTTCTATTTACTACATGTTCTCTCTCTAATTATCAGCTCCCACAAATGTTTGTGTCTCAGTTCTGCTGACTGAGATCACAAACAGTATACAGTATAATTTCATGGTAGAGAAAAAGTGTTTTGTATACTAAAAAGCACCCTAATACTGTCTAGTTGTTTGGGTTTTTACATAAATTAATATTCAATGAGTCCACAGCTAACACCAGTATATCTTATGAAGCAAGGAAGAAAGAGCATTCTCTTCAATAATAGTAATAACAATAATCTGACAAATAATAAGCTCATACCGTATTTATCTGTGTTCTACAAATGCCTTCATTCTGCTGCCCAGCACTGTTTTACAGCTTTCTTTAGATCAGTAAAAATCAACATTAAGGAACCTGCAGAACTATTTTTCTTTTCTTTGCTGTAAAGATATAGTGTCTGCTGAGTCACTGCTCTTAGACTTACACAAAGATAAAACAGCATCATTTGCTGGAATATTAATCTTGGCATCCTGCTAACATCAATGGTAGTAAGAAACGCACCACTTTTTAAAATAGGAAAAAAAGCACAAGTGGGGGAAAAGTACAAGACTGAAAAATAACATCCCTATCCCTTTAAGTGCATCATATTAAACAGCTGTATTTGTTTATACAAAAAGTCTTTTTCATGGAGCAAAAATGCAGGTTTTAGATGGCAAAACAAATTTAACAAGCATGTCTCCTGATAGCTGGCATCAAAAAAATAATGCTTTAAAAGGAGCTTAAATAGTTATGTTACATATTTGGGAAGAGAAATAAGGAATTGAACTCACATTATACCTTCCTCCCCAATAGGTTTCCTTAGGAAACTTGGGGAACAAAAGTCAGATAATTTCTCTCCTAAACTGTAGGAATTTCTTTTTCCCTATTTCCCCGCAACTTTAAAACCAGCTAATTTCTGAAAGGCAGAGACATGGTGAACTACAAAAAGCAGCAAGAGAGAGGCAAGGATATGAAGAAAAGAGTCATTTCACATAGGAAAAGATAGCACACACTCATCTCATATCCATCGCTTCTATGCTCCCTTCCCTTTTCCCACCGCTTTCAGTGATCTTGCGCATAGGTTCAGTGCTGAAAAATGCAGAAGTCAGTGGGCATCACCTTTACTCCCACTTCACTTGCATCCAGCTACACTCACAACTTGTACATATTTTCTAGTCAACAATTAATAAAGTGGAGAAAAAGCAGACCAGATCGTAAAGATTTTATCCAAGAAACATACGTTTTCATGCATTTTAAGAAAAGTAAAAGTGCTAACTTGAAAATAATACTTAATAGGAAAAGCTGGTAACAACCCCATGAGCCAGCTCTAAGAAAAATAACTCCAAAAGTTACTACGGAAGTTCAGGAATATGTCAGACTTTATGGTCTAACTCCACACTGTATTTCAAGAGTGAATCAAAGCTTTTTATGAAGAGTAATTAACTCTCATATTACCTCCTTGAGATGCACATTATTTGTACTAGTTCAACAAACGGAAAGTGATTGAGTTAGTATTTAATTCCAACCATTTCACCCTAAATATTAAAATCAGAGATTTTACGCCGTAAACCTTCCAGCATTTATTGGCTTTTGATAAAGTGGACAATTGTATTATGTAAATACTGGAATGCACGAACGGGATGGATCCTAACAGTCTAATCACAACATCGCAACGGAATGATTAGGAATGTGGCCATTTAGTATTTCATACGAATGAGAATTTCCCAAATCTGGTGTACTCTGGCTTGAAGAATTATGAGGATGCATTTAAATTATAAGCTTGGGTTACAATCCAGCATAGAGACTTGCAGAACAGCCAATAAACCTGCAAATCCTCTTATCAGGGATTTCCTGCAGAAATTGGACTCCTGACTGGGAAGGGCCTTTGATCTGTACCTAGGTTTTGGCTTTTGAGCTAGGATTTTACACCAGGCCAATCCCTATATATATACGTGGTTTTTGGGGCACGTGCCTAACTGTGGCACTAGTTACAGTATGTAGGAACACAGCCTTGCATGCTTTCAGACCTGATCTGTTCTTTATAGAAACTCGCAGAGAAGTTGTCAGCCTCTGCCTGCTGCGCAAACTACACCGCCATTAGAAACAGGTAATTATTTTACTATCATTTACTGATAAACAGACCATATTACAGCTCCTCATTACATCAATGGGGTTATTACTAGGACTAAGCATTGTCACATTGAAACAAATGTTTCCAAGATCTTCGTAGAGCATAATGGGAAACATACTTGGTCACGTCAATCTTAGAAAAGAAACAAAGAAAATGTAGATGTTTATTCCGAGTGGTAGTTTGACCTGTAGATTATAGGTAAGAGATGGTTTATCCTAAAGAACGAAAAGTAAAAATCAGATTGTTTCTTTTTTACAGTGAAACACTAAGCACCATCTCTTCATAGTTCCAGTATGTGAATTTATTTTAAAGCAGCAACAACTGATTCTCCTATAAAATCGATATTTCTATTTTATGGAGTGGTTTAGTACTAAATCTCATGCATCATAAATTAAGTCTCAGACAGTTGATAATGATCTCATTTTTTATTCAAACAGAAGTAGTATGCCATGCTGATGGAATTATATTTTGTGATTGGATTACAGCAGTAGTAGTTAAAATATACAATTGGGGTAAAAAAGAAAGAGATGAAAAATTATGACCTTACTCCTTGAGTTTATATTGAACAGGCAGATCATCATCCTGTCACAAAACTGTTAATATTATCACTTAATTAACTAATGCTAGTATCTCCATAATGATTTTTAAACACTTTGATGAGAAAATTATACAGCTTACATACTATGTTAGTATAAATTATACAGAAACCATTAATGGAAAGACTTAGACGCTATCAGATTTCTGGAGGCAAGTGTAAGATGTAAAATAATGTCTTTAATAGTCATACCTAAATCTCCAGCAGATTTGATGTCAATATTATCAAAACCACTGCCAATTCGGACAATTATTCGAAGTGCTTTAAATTTCTCCAGGTCTTCTCGTGTTAAAGTGATAGTATGATACATCAGTGCACCCACTGCTTCATTTAGTACCTATAAATAAAATGGAAGAAAAAATACTCATTTTTTTTTTTTCTTTCATAGAATCTCAGCTTCATCACATATACACATTTTCAGGTATAAAAAGACTGTAAAAGCATTAAATCCAGGTCTTTTTTTTCAAAGGTTATTTCTCCAAACATCTTCCAGCCTCTTGTTAGTCTTTCTCATATGATGTATCCATTCTAGCACAGTAAGATTAGCTTTAGAAGAACTAAGTGACCTGTATTTTTGTTCTTATTAAGAGGGAAAACTCTTCTCATTTCACAGGAGATGCTCTACAGTATCGAACTCTAAGTACAAGCATCACTGGACTGCATCTGCACGTGCAGATGAAACACAACATGGGAGCAAGCACTCACTTTAAACAGTAAGTATTTTTATGCTTAGGCAGCTGACATTCAGTTTTGAATGGAGTCACAGAGCAATCTCTCTTCACCACACACACAGTGGTACAGGCATTCACTGCGCTATCAAACCACTTCATACCTGAATAGAAAACATTCAGTAATCGTTACAAAACCCTTAGACAACTGCGCTATCAAACCACTTCATACCTGAACAGAAAACATTCAGTAATCATTACAAAACCCTTAGACCACAGAGACTGAAATCTGTCAATTCATACAGAAGAACAAAGTGTTTGTCCCTTAGTTTATTGATACTGCAACTGTCTAAGCTCTCACTGATAGAAAACCAGATGTCATATTAATTGCTACAACTGAGATGCCAAACTAGACGTTATCGAGAAAAAAACGCACCTCTAAGAAATAAGAAATTGTATCAAAGCAAAAATGTTGCGAAAGAAAAAAAACTTGTGAGAGAACGCGCCAAAAAAGCAAAAATAGACAGGATCTGAAAGGTCTGAATATCTTTCAAATTATATTAGAGTGCATCCAACCTACTCAAGAAAGGTTAAGAGGAAGGGGTGTGGAGAGGGGGAAGAGAGCCTAGCACACCATGCCCAGCAGTTTCGAATTCTGCTACCAAACAAGCAGTGACACTGCACCCTACACAGCTGATACACGTTTATTGTTCAGAAAGCAGAAAATATTTTCTCTTTATATGCAAATTGGACAATTTCACTTCTTCGGAACACTTCTCTCTGTTTCCACCTTCAATGCACTACCTAATATCCTTTATCGTTCTATGAGATACAAAACATGCACAAATCATTTCAACATCTAAGCTAGCTATAATGACTTCAAGAGGTTCCTATGACGCACTTCACATAAAAGTTCTGCAGGGGCTCTAAATTTCTTATTCAATAGACTTTGGTACATGTACAGATTCTGTAATCTTAGTTATTTCTGCTCATATGAACATTTTCCAGGGTACTGCAAGATCAGTAACAATAATCAACATCAACGCAAATCGTTTAAAAAGAACTACTGCAGCAAACCACAGTCTCGCACACAGAGGATTACAACTGTTGGAACCCAAGATCTGCAGCAGTAATTTGTAAAATTAAAATACACGAATAAAAATTTTAAAAGAAAATAAAAACAAGCTCCATAAAAGTGAAAGAATACTGAAGCTATTGCTGCTATTCTTACTGAAGCTACTTATGCTATTTCAACAGGTGTTTCTGGATTGGTAACCCCAGTTCTAAGTCAGATAAAGACCAGAATGCTTTGAGCAGAATTTGGATTTGCTTGTAAGGGTAAGAACTGCAAAAAAATTAGAAATTACACATCCTTAAAGAATGTGGCTACAAAATAATTCAAAGAAGGGCTGTAGGCTCTGATCTTATAAACGATTATACACACACAAAACTCCTTGATTTTAGTGGTACAAACAAGTCCTTTGGAGATTACATCTAGCAGTCACCAATCAGAAAGACTGCACTCATCAGAACGTGTTTCCTTGAGGTGTCACATAGGGTTAAAAAAAACACAAAACAGTTTATTGGTTTTGCTTCCACAGCAACATTACAGCTGGTATGGACCAAGTCAAAGCCCATGCCTGGGGCAGTCTACACAAGAAATACTCCCTCTTATAACCTGAGTGCCCACCTAAAATGCCCTTAGGGTTTTTTTTGTCCCATTAATTCCAGAAGAAAACTGTTCCAAAATCTCACCGCTCTAACGATATGGAAATTTCTTCTTATTTCCAGCCTCAATTTATTCACAGCCCAGCTTGTATCCATTTGTTCTGGTGCCAGTGTTGGCCATTTGCTCAAACTGTACTTTCTCCCTGGTGTTTACAATCCAAATGTATTTATAGACACGATCATATCCCCTCTCAGCATTTGTTTGGCTAGACTTCTGTCCTGGTTTCAGCTGGGGTGGAGTTAATTTTCTTCCTATTAGCTGGTGTAGTGCTGTGTTTCGGATTTAGCAGGAGAATAATGTTGATAACACACTGATGCTTTAGCTGTTGCTAAGTAGTGTTTACACTAGTCAAGGACTTTTCAGCTTCCCATGCTCTGTCAGGTGCACAAGCAGCTGGGAGAGAGCATAGCCAGGACAGCTGACCCAACTGGCCAATGGGGTATTCCATACCATATGACATCATGCTCAGTACATAAACTGGGGGTTGGTGGAGGAGGGGGATCGTTGCTTGAGCATCGGTCAGCGGGTGATGAGCAAGGGCATTGTGCATCACTCATTTTGTATATTCTATCATTATTATTGTTATTTTCCCTTCCCTTCCTTTTCTGTTCTATTAAACTGTCTTTATCTCAATCCACAAATTTTACTTTTTTTTTTCCCCAATTCTGTCCCCCATCCGGGGGTGGGGGGGCGGGCAGTGAGTGAGCAGCTGTGTGGTGTTTGGCTGCCTGCCGGGTTAAACCACAACAACTTCACAAGCCTAGTCCTTCTAGTCTCATCTAGGATGATGCCCTTTTACCCTCTTGATCAAGTCTAACACTTCTCCACTGCGCTTAAAGTCGTCTAAGCTCAACTCCACTGTGGGTGATCACAACTGCACCCAGTGTGCTACTGGAGGTCTCCCTCCCCACTGTGTTATACCAACACTACCACTTTCAGCAGCAGTACCTATGCTGGAAATCTCTCTTAATGAAGTCTCACATGATGTGTGACGTTTCTGCACGGCCATCATCACACTGCCAGCTGATCCTTTGGCTAACGCGCAAATCTGAATCCTTTTCCCTGAAGCATGTGTTTCTGTCACGCTCCCAAGTTTACAGTAGGATTTCTTTCTCCGAGCCGCAGCACTTGTTACTTCAGGCCGCAAGGTCCTCACGTTCTTTATGATATCCTGGTTCTCCTCTCCAATGAGCCGTGTCCTCCATTCTGTGTTTTATCACATACATTTCCTCCTGCCCCTCAAAGGTTGCTCTAGATGGCTGTGACGCAGGAGAAAATACCCTCTGTGTAGTTGTCAGAAGAGCAAAAACTGAAGTAGCTTAGAGCTTACAAGGACTCACCTAAGGCTCCTATGACAGCCAGACCCTCCTCTCCCAGACTGGAAAAGGCCAATGGTGTGTGTGTTTGTGTGTGCAGGCAGAGAGCTGCCACTACTTTACGGACTGCATTAAATAGGGGCTAAAAGACAGATGAAGTGGCTCAGACATTTGCGTTTTAAAATCACAGTGTTTCATCTGGAAAGCAGCTTTTCACTTCACTATCATGCATATTTTATTAACTCAGCCAGTCAAGACTGTAATTTGGACTCTAAGAGCACCGGTCTGGACCCATTACACTACATTTTTGGGCGCATCTAGGTTATGGCTTGGCACTAGGAGGGGACGGAAAAGTATTGGGAAGCTTGGGAATGTATTCAATAAAAGGAAAAGTATTTCTCAGCTATGGCTTAATGCTGACACTAGCCATTTCCACAGGCAGTTATTTACCCATCATATGGGATATGGAACAAACAGATGCAAATGACAAATCTTTTAGAATTTCTTTTTAGTGTTTGAGCCTCTCCTAGGATTATGGATCAGTTTGCAAGGAAATCCATTGCCAAAAACGTAATATTCTGCAACTGTGTATTATTTCACATTAATTTGATAATTAAGTTACGTCACTGCTTTTTGCAGCTGGCCATGTGATTGAAGTATGCCAAAAAGGCAGAAAATAATAGCAGAAAATCTGACGTTCAAAACATTCAGCATTGATGAATGTTAATAATGCCACTTACAGATTAAAAAAAAAAAAAGAAAAGAAAGTTTCTGTATTTTGGAATTATTTGTATGAATTACATTCTCAGTAATTAGATAAACTAAATGCACACAAGGAAGTTTGACAAGCTCGTCAATGAGTAAAATCAAAACTTGAACTAAATCTGAGTATAACACATGAAACTGAAATCCAGCATAACTGTGAACAGTTCTGGAAAATGAAATAATCTTTAGAAAAAATAACTGTGCATAGGAGTAATTTACTGATCACTTACAGAAGCACATCCAATGGCGGATGCATGAGAGAAACAGGGAGTATATATGTTTTTCTCATCATCTTCCATGATGAACTTGATTGTTAGAACACTCACCAAATTCTAGTGCAATTTTATTACAAAGATATCAACTCGTGTCAATTTGAGTGAGATAACATATTTAACAAGCAAGCTAGAAATTTCAGATCAGCCCAAGTATGTGGCAGTCAGACAATACTATTTCATATCTCTCGCAAGGAAAAGCAACAGGCAAAATCTGATAGAGAACAAGCAGAGTTAGCTGCGTACCTTCAACAGCCATTCCTGCTTTCATCAGACTACAATTGTGCTTTTCGGGAGAAAGGATCCGAGATCCTTGAAACACAGGACATGAGTTGGCTTCCTTCTGTTACCAAATAATGATGTAGCCCATCTGCATAATTTCTATGCCTTCAGACTTACTTCCAGGTGAAGCTACAGCATACTGCTGGTTGAAAGCCTTTTTATACCCCCTTTAAGGAGCTGACATCCTTTCCAATCACAACTGCTCGGACAGGTCTTTCTGCTGTTCTTCAACCTCAGAACGACTACTCTGCTTTCACAACATGCCAGGTCTCCAAGGCTCTTGAAGAACAGATGACACTATAGTA